AATGCTAACTTCTGAAATCTACACATTGCAATTGAAATCTACACATCTTGTAAAATAAAAAAGAGGCTGTACTTCACACATAAAGCAGTTAAGCCAGCTAAAGTTCTTTAGGGGTCTGGAGTGTGCCTTTAAATAGAAAACAAGCAAGTAGATCTGTGTCCTTTCCTATAAACCCACAAAGAAGAATTTCATGGGATTTATGTTAAGATATTGTTAATTATTAAAGGGACACTCCAGGCACCCAGACCACTTCTGCCCATTGGAGTGGTCTGGGTGCCAACTCCCACTACCCTTAACCCTGCAACTGTAAATATTGCAGTTTTCTATCAGACAGCCACTAGAGGGACTTCCGAAAAGTGTTATACGACGCTGAACGTCCTCACACTATGTGAGGACCTCCAGCATCGCCGAAATCCTTATAGAAAAGCATTGAAAGCAATGACGTCGGTGGGGGAGGAGAGTGAGCAGACCCAGAACCAGGGCAGAGGGACATCGGCGCTGGATACAGGTAAGTCACTGAAGTGGTTTTAGCTAGAGTTGAGCAGACACCTGGATGTTCGGGTCCGGTGGGTTCGGACGAACTTTGAAAAAAAGTTCGGGTTCGGGCTCGAACTTGACCCCGAACCCGAACCCCATTGAAGTCACCGGGGACCCGAACTTTTGGCCACAAAAATGGCTCTAAAAAACTCCTGGAAAGGGCTAGAGGGCTGCAAAGGGAAGTAAAATGGGGGTAAGAGTAGGACAAGTGCCCTGCAAACAAATGTGGATAGGGAAATAACTTAAAATAACATAAAATAAGCAGCCACTTAGTAGATAACTCCCTAATTCCCACGGTATTAGGGAGCTATCTACCAAAAGACTGAAAGACCTAAATTGGTCTTTCAGCCACATTTACTAACACTAAGTAAAGATTACTTAGTATTAGTAAATTCAGTCCCTACTCACTATACCGCAAGTAGGGGCGTGTCTAGTAAACAGTGAGCAGCCAGTGGCAATAAGGGGGGGGACCTACTGTCCTCCCCCCGGCCCCCATCCCTGCGTGGTGGGTGGGGGCCCTAAAAAACAATAAGGGGGTGGACATACTGTAATAAAAATTGGGGGGGGACCTAATGTCCCCTACCCATGCGTGGTGGGTGGGGGCCATAAATAAAAATCCCCCAGGTGACAGGGGGTCCCCAAACCCCTAGTCACCCCCCTCCCTCCCAAAAAATTACCCCTACCTACCCCCCTCATCCGAAAAAAATGAGGGGGGACCCTTGTCTAAATATCTGTAAAAAAAAAAAAAAAAAATAGACTTACCCTTTGATGTCTTCTTTCTTCTAAAATCTTCTTTTTTCCAAAGAACTTTCCCACGCTGTGTAAAATGACACAGAGCACTTTGATTGGTGGATTTCAAGCCAACCAATCAGAGTGCTGTGACAGGTAAATGTAGAGTCTTACCTGTCTGTCTCTTCATTTACCTGTCATAGCACTCTGATTGGATGGCTTAAACCCACCAATCAGAGTGCTCTGAGCCTAATTGTAGGGCGGGGCAAGGCTTTATAAGCTTTCCCCCGCCCTGCAGAGCTCAGTCTGCGCGGAGCCCTCCATGGGTGAAGAAGGATTTATTTTTTTTGTGCTCTTTTTTTTATTATTATAATAAATATAGTATTTAGACAAAGGTCCCCCCGCATTACTTTTAGGATGAGGGTGGTAGGTAGGGGTAATTTTTTTTGGGGGGAGGGGGGTGAACAGGGGTTTGGGGACCTCTAGTCATCTGGGGGGGATTTTTATTTATGGACCCCACCCACCACGCAGGGGTGGGCCGGGGGGAAAGACATTAGGTCCCCCCCAATTTTTATTTATGGCCCCCACCCACCGTTCAGGGGTGGGGGCAGGGGAGGACAGTAGGTCCCCCCTTATTGTTATTTAGGGCCCCCACCCGCCGCGCAGGGGTGGAGCCGAGGGGGAGGACATTAGGTCCCCCTCCAATTTTTATTTATGGCCCCCACCCACCGCTCAGGGTTGGCTGCCGAGGAGAGGACATTAGGTCCCCGCCCCAATTTTTATTTATGGCTGAGGGGGGTAGGTAGGGGTAATTATTTTTAGGATGAGGGGGGTAGGTAGGGGTAATTTTTTTGGGGGGTGGGTGGTGAATAGGGGTTGGGGACCTCTAGTCACCTGGGGGGGGTTTATTTATGGCCCCCACCTGCCACGCAGGGGTGGGGGCCAGGGGAGGACAGTAGGTCCACCCTTATTGTTATTTAGGGCCCCCACCCACCGCACAGGGGTGGGAGCCGAGGGGGAGAACATTAGGTCCCCCCCTATTTTTATTTATGGCCCCCAACCGCCGCTCAGGGTTGGCTGCCGGGGGGAGGACATTAGGTCCCCCCTAGTTTTTATTTATGGCCCCCACCCACCATGCAGGGGTGGGGGCAGGGGGGAGGACATTAGGTCTGCCCCCCAATTTTTATTTATGGCCCCCACCCACCGCTCAGGGGTGGGGGTTGAGGGGGAGGATATTAGGTCCCCCCCCTTATTGGTATTTAGGACCCCCACCCGCCACGCAGGGGTTGGGGCCAGGGGGGAGGACATTAGGTCCCCCCCCAATTTTTATTAATGGCCCCCACCGCTCAGGGATGGGGGCCGGTGAGGATGACATTAGGTCCCCCCCCCCAATTTTTATTTATGGCCCCCACCCACCGCTCAGGGGTGGGAGCCGGGGAGGAGCAATAGGTCCCCCCTTTAGTTTAAAAGCACTCACTCGCGCGTCGTGGGTGGGGGCTCAGGAGGGGGGGATTTTTTATTTTTTTTAAAATAAGTAGGCCCCCCCTCCTTATTGCCACTGGCAGCTCACTGTTTAATAGACACGCCCCTACTCGCGGTATAGCGAGTAGGGGCATAATTTACTAATACTAAGTGACCGGCTTCTATAGAGCTTCTATAGACCAGCTTCTATAGAGCATTCTATAGTAGGCATGGCTGTGATGGCTTCTAAGGGCACACAAGTCAAATGCTTGTTGATTGGCTGCCCTGTGGCCTTTCAAAACGTGTCATTAAATCGCCGAACTCCGAACTCCAACCCGAACATTCAGTGATATGTCCGTGTTAGGGGTCCAAAAAACTTAATATACGGTACGAACCCAAACTTTTCAGTTCGGGTTCGCTCAACTCTAGTTTTAACCCCTTCAGCAACTTGGGATGGGGGGTGGGAGGGTGAGAGTACCTGCAGTGCCAGGAAAACGGTTTGTTTTCCTGGCACTGGAGAGTCCCTTTAAGATATTGTTTAATACAAGTTGTTGATGAGTTTGGAGATTTAAAAAAAAAAAATCTATAATTTTCACTGGTGTAGAACTGTTATTGACATAGAATTGCAAATGCATCATAAATAAACATATGACGAAAGCCCTTATTTTTAAAATTACAATGCACTTCTCATCTATACTATCACACAATGTTGAGATGTGTTATTAGTAAACTTTTCATAAGAAAGCAACTAACCACAAAACTGACACGCAAAGAAATTAGCATTCTAAACTGTTGTTTTATCACATTAATTTGTTTAAATCAGATTTAAAATCCTTACAACATTTTAATGGTGTAAACAAGAAATTCTTCCTAAACTCAGTTAGAAAAGGCTAATTGCACATAGTAAATACTTTTGCAATTAAGAGTAGCTGATCTTCTCTGGCAGAAGTTCAGCTGTGTACAGTATTGTTTATAGTTAATGATAACAGCCTTACAAGCCATGTCTCAAACACATCATAAAGAGAATTTGCATTTCATTGTGTTACATTACTCATTCTGCCGTACAAAGAGCTGGAGAAAGGCTGCATTTACTTTTAATTATTCTCTTTATTCTAAGAATAGAATGATTTTACTCCCATACTAATTGAACCTGCATGATGCTATATGAGTAACATAGATATTGTTTTTTGTTTTTTGGGGGCTTGTTCTTATGTGAATGATTTTTATTTTAACCTCAGCATGTCCTAATTTCTCACTATTATTTTTCACTTATTTTTCCATCTAAACCCCAGTTTTCTAGTTCTGCTGAAAAGGAAACTATAGTGCCAGGAAAGCAAAGTTGTTTTCCTGGCACTATAGATCCCTATAGTGCCCTCCTTCCTCGCGGATGAGCTGAAGTGGTAAGGGTGCCTATTGTGGTGGGACCACTGCCTGTCCGTGTTATGTATGTTTCCTCATCTCTTCGTATATTGTGCCCGCTTCGTATATTGTGACCACCCCGATACCTCATTTAGAATGTTAGTTTAGAACCTTTACATCTTGCAACATAAGTGTCAAACCACAAGCCACAAAGGAAACAATTAATGAGCACTCCTCTGGGCAGCCGCCATTCGTACAGAGGAACACCAGCCAGGGGGAGCATTCGTGAATTGTTTCCCGACTTGTTCGTTTCCTGAACGAGGAACTCTCCAGTGCCACATTAGAACGTTCTCACTTGCAACCTAAGTGTGAACCCACAAGGGAAGTAATTAATTAATGCTCCCCTGGGTGGCTGCCATTTTGTATAGATGAATGTCGTCCTCGCACTGGCGAGTTGGGCGGGCTTTGTGGTATCTGCAGGGACAAAGAAATCAGCTCTTTTCCCATGGGCGGGCTTTCTGTGCCTGGGAGACAAAGGTACGATCCTTTGTTCCCGCGCCTGGACTCCCTGGCACAGAGGCTCCTGGGAAAAAGACCCCTTGGCGGCAGTGGCGGTAGATGGGGACAAAGGGAACAGAGTCCTTTCCCACGCTGGGGACCCAGGGAGGGGGAGGATTCTGGAAGGGGACACTGGATGTTGGTATGATACACCCCTTGTATGGGGTATGTATAAAAGCCGTGTGGTGGGCGAGGCCTGGACGCTGAACAAGATGGACGCTTAACCACAGCGTTCCGCTCCATAAGCCCTCATTAAGCACTCAACCACAAGCTAAAGCCAACAAATGGGTTGCAACCGACGGTCCGAACACCCCCATACCCCGAGGGGTGCTCAGCCAAAGCCTCAACAAGGCCCGATGGATGGGTTCGTACACTCCCAGAGGGGCCCAGATGACGAGGCCGAAGTGATCGGATCCACGACGCCATCCCCGGCCTCAACAGCCGGCACTGAGCCGTCGGCCTTAGACCGCATCGGAGAGGAGCTGCGCATCATAGCGAATTCCATGGCAACTAAAAATTATTTGCTTTCCAACACAACCGCCATACAAGATGCCCTCTGGGGGGAAATAGCGGGGATCCGTACAGAAGTTGGCGCCCAAGCAGGCCGCATCCAATCCCTAGAACCAGCCCTCGAGACGAAGACAGCTAGCATCTCCACGACGGATACAGCGATATCCAGACAGGGAGAGCTACTACTCACCATGCGGCGCGCCATAGAAGATATGGACAACAGGGACCGCCGCTGTAATATTAGAATACGGGGGTTCCCTGAGTCAGACGGAGGGGAAAACGTAGAGGAGCTCCTCTCAGGCCTATTCCGCAACATACTGCAGCAGGAGGCGCCGCCGCGCTTTAAATTTGACAGAGCACACAGAGCCTTGCGACCTCGCGCACCAGAGGAAGGCCCGAGGGACTTAATCTGCTGCCTCCACTCTTACCAACTTAAGGAGGCCATAATGCATAAGTCCAGGGAACGACCCACGTGGCCCTACATGGGCACCCAAGTTGCTCTATACCACGACTTATCCCCTATGATGCTGGATGCACGGAGGGCTCTCCGACCGGTGACCACCATCCTACGAGATCGCGGCATACCGTATAAGTGGGGATTCCCGTTTGCCCTCCTTGCACGCTCCCAGGATGGATGGATCTCCGCCCGCCACCCCGATGAAGTTCCGCGCCTTTTGGAGGGACTGGGCCTGCCACCCACGCCGGTCCCTAACTGGATCCTTGACTCACTGGGCCCGAAACCCCGACTCCAGAGGATACCCCGGAGGCGCAGAAGAGGGACCCCGCCGGGACCCCGACCGAGAAGACGCCCCGGACCAGGGAGGCCATGCGGAGTACGTACGCCTACCACCCCGCCCTGGCCGTCCTGACTGTTACCGCATCAGCTCCGGGTCCAGAGTGCCCCTCTGGAGGACAGCCCTGCTCCCTTCTGGCCCAGTGGACCTTCCTCACCCTTACAGCCACCGGATGGGAGGGACAACACACAACACTTTGGGAGGGGGGACATGGGAGACAACTTAGCATCCTGGGCACCACACTTCGGGGCCCTAATATGTATATGGAGGATGAGGTGACCGGGATGCTCGGAATGGGGTCAGCCAAACCACTAACCTTTAGACTCAGGGACACTCTGGCAGCAACCGAGGAAGAAGGGAGCTACACAAAAAGAAAGGGACCCTGACAATGGGGAGCGACTGCTTACCTTGGCAGATTAGAGCCACCCTGTGGCTCCACTGGCACAGACCTTTTTTTTTTTCTCTCCCGGGCTTCCGCACCTAAATAAAATAAGCCATAATGTAACCTTGGGATGCTGCTACTTGAGGGTGGGGGACCCCTCTAATGGGGAGACAGCGGGCCCAAGGCTTACCTGGCACTCCACAAACTTGGGGTAGGGGGGAAGGGAGGATAATCACACACACACGCGCCACCGCCATTGTCATTGCACCCATGGAGGAGGGGAAGC